ACCTTAAATCAGAGAACCATGATTCTAACTCTTTATATACTGTACTTGCATGAAAGGATGGAAAGAGAAGGATATCGTACTAAAAACCCTGAGTAAATGGTCTTTGGGATTCCTTAAGCTTGAGGTTATAAATAAAATGATTACTACTTCTTTTTTAAAAATATATTTTATTGATTTTTTACAGAGAGGAAGGGAGAGGGATAGAGAGTTAGAAACATCGATGAGAGAGAAACATCGATCAGCTGCCTCCTGCACACCCCCTCCTGGGGATGTGCCCGCAACCAAGGTACATGCCCTTGACTGGAATCGAACCTGGGACCCTTCAGTCTGCGGGCCGATGCTTTATCCACTGAGCCAAACCAGTCAGGGCAAAATGACTACTTCTTATTTACAATACTTATAACTAAGTATTTACACAGGACAGAATATGCCAAAATACAGATATGGGGGAAGTTACTGTTCATATAGCCAAGCTCTTATAGCTCCTCTATCTTAAAATATATTCCTGAGTATTCTGCCAGCAGATTTGAAAAAAATGCAAGATTAGATACTTTGGGTGAAGGTAAGGCAGAATCTATTCCTAAGTTACTTGGGAGGTCTGGCATATCAAAAAAACATTCAATAATTCTTAGTTTAGGCCTGACAATGAATTCGAACTTAAAAGAATGAGGCACCTTCCAGTGAAAATTGCTATAAAGGCGTATCCAGGGTTGAGGGCTCATGGAGAGAAGGCAGCAGATTGTAAGATTTGCGGATTGGCATATAGAGAGTTGAAGCAGAACTCCTTCCCTGATTTTTTGCTGTTAACCTTGGACATGTTACCTAAATGATTTGATGCATAGGTTATTCACTGGTATAATGGGAATAAGAATAGTATTTGCCTGTAAGAGGTGCTATGACCTTTAAATAAAATAATTCTTGGAAACCATTAGCAGAGGGCCTGACGTATTGCAAACACTGAACAGAGACTGGTGAGCTGGCCATGTAGATACTTGGATCAGTCACAGAGTAAAACTGGGTGATATTATGTTTTTTTTTTTTTAAAGAAAATGCATTCACAGTTCAGGGGCAGGGTGTTGGCATGGAAAAGTACTATAGTAGGAGTTGGAGGACCAGGATTCTGTGGAGGATCTAGGTCTAGGTCACTGCCAGGCATTTAGAGTCTAGATGTGCAATAGTGACAGCTCAGAGGTTGCCCACAAAGAGCAGGCCTATGCCCATGACCACCTTTCTGAGCACCACTGAGCTCTAGTTCAGTGGAGTTCAGGAAAGCAGCTCCACATGCAGGTGCCTCCAGTCGGAAATCTTATTTGCAGATATCACTTGCCTTTGAGTACATTCAGAGTATTTTGTATTCTTGCATCTGGGACTCCTCACACGCTCTGAGTGGTCTGCCTTCCAGAATAGAGCTTCTGAAGATTCTTTCCTTTTGTGCAGGCCTTGATTAAAACAACATGCCCTCTTACTCTCTGGCTTACCATTTCCTCACCAATAACAAGAAAGACTGGCCTAAATGCGTTTTGAAGTTACTTCAGCTTGTCTTTTATACAGTTTTCTTAAACTTTTCTTAAGAGGCTTAGAGCTTTTTATTCATTCATTCACTATATAATTTATTTTATTTATTTTTTTAATTTTCAGTCACTGGCATTTATTTTTTTAAATTTTGTTTTATTGCTTAAAGTATTACAAAGAGTATTACATATGTCACCTTCCCCCCCCCCTTGACAT